GGCGGGGCCGCTCCCGCTCGCCGCAGCAAGCGGGGATGGGGGGGCTCAACGCGTGGGAATCCACCTAAAAATATAATAAAAACGGAGACAAAAAAACCCCCAAAAACAGGAAGGAGGGAGGAGGAACGCGAGGCGTCGCTGTCCAGCCCAGTGCCCGCCCGCTCTCCTCAGCGGAAGGCGGTGGGAGGACCGGGAGCCCCGGGGAAGGGGGGACGTGCCCCCCTGCGCTGACCTCCCTGCCCGACCTCTGGCCACCGGCACCTGTTTGCAGTGGGCAAAGCTGTTGCATAAAAGCCAGTGGTCAAGGGCAGCAGGCTGTATGAAGCAATCATGGCCCCGTCCATGAACACGTGGACCAGGGACAGGCTCTCTGTTAATGACATTAATTGCGAGATTAATTCGGTGTTTGAAGTTGCAGTGTAGAGCTCCAGGACGTGGGCACGTCGAACGCAACAAGCTGATGAGCTGGGCAAGGCTGAGCCAACATCCGGATGGCGGGACGGGGGTGACACAGCTGCTGGCACCTTGCTGGGGTCAGAGGTGTCACAGCCAGAGCTCACAGCCCGGCAGTCTGCGTCGGTACAATGGAGGAAATCAGGCTCCAACCATCGCTGCCTCTGCTGCCAGATGGAAAAAGGTGCTGCAGAGAAGGCGCTCAGAGCCCCCTTTCCCCTGCCATCCTGCCCCGGGCAGGGGTGGCCCCATGCACGGCTCAGCCTCACTGCCAGCCTGGATGGTCGCTGCAGTGCGGGGGTCACCGCGATTCCAGGCTCAGGCTGACAGCAGCATAGGCATCCTGGATCCAGACTGCTGCCTTCAGAGAGAAAAAAACCCTCTGGTTTGAGTCAGCTCTGCCGGGAAGGGCATTGGCAGTGGGTGAGCACAGAAATCCTTTGTGCTGCTGCAGCCCAGGGCAGAGGGAGTTGCACATAGTGTAACGGCTTGTCCTGCCTGCCTGCGGGTCTGCTGTCCTGGGTGCATCAGGACTGCAGGGACCGGGACCAGGACCAGGACACTGTCCTGGTGATGCTGCTGTGCGGAGCAGCACCCTTGCCCTCCTGCTGGCTGTAGTTCCTGGAGCAAGGCAGGGGCCAGGCACAAATCACTCATCCCCTCTCCATGCCAGGGACACCTTTGCGGTTCAGTTCCCTTATGCTTCTCTTTGCCAGCAGCCCTAAACATGTCCCCTGAAGCTGAGGATATCCCATAATCATCACACAGATGTTAACTGCACGTACCCTCTGGGACACAGTGTCCCCTGGGCTTTGCCAGGTCTCCAGAGAAACGCTGCTGATGGTCAAGGACACCCTGGACAGATGGCAGGCTCAGGAGTTTTGCAAAGGCAGTAGCGTAATAGCAATGTGTTGTCTGTCACCAGCTTGCCCTTGGGCTCCTAGCTGGGGTGGCCGTGCTGGCACACGGGAACAGCGGGAAGCTGGGATAGTGCAAGGATGAGGAGGGGGGACAGAAGGGCAGGGCAAACCCTTATTCTGGGGCAGAAAGGCATCACCCCTTCAAGAGGGCACTAGGCACGGCAGCATGGGCAGCCGGCAGTGATGCCAGCGGCACCGGGATGGGCCACTGGCTGCCAGGCAGGGCTGGCCCCTCTGCTCGCACCGCAGCAAGGCGGCTGCCGTTGGAGCTGTGCTGCAGAGTGCCGGCATTTCCATGGAAACCCGGCCTGATGTGGGTCTTTCATCTTGGTTCCTCCCTTAGCCTGTCACTAAACGGGCACCCGGTGGCTGCATGGGCGGGCCCCTGGACTGCAGTCCTGGGGCTGCCGGGTGGACCACGGGGGCCAGTGGCTGGGACAGCACTGAACGGGACTGTGGGTCAGGGTTCAGGGTGGGCAGCCATCCCCCACACCCAGAGACCTGAGCCCCCAGGGAGCAGTTCTGCCTGTTGTCACGGAAAAGCCCAGGGGAAGGCAGCCCCCATGTCCTGGGCAGGAGTCCCACCAGCCCATCAGAGTCCCATCATGGCTCAGCTCTGCTGGTCCCCATCCCAGGATCTCCACAGCATCCCTGCCCTTGGTGTCATGGCACAGCACCTTCCCCACCCTCTCCATCTGCCCCATGTCAAGGGGCCTGCTGCCACCCCAGGCTGGTGCCCCCAGGCCGTGCCCAGCTCCAGGAGCCAGGGCACAGGCTGGCAGAGGCTGCAGGACCCCCACATTGGGCAGCACCAAGGGTGATGGTGGGGCCGGCACAGGGGTTGGAGCATGGTGCTGAGCAGGGTGACATGTGCCAGTGGCACTGCAGCTGCAAGGGGCCCCTGGGAGAGCAGGGCAGAGCCCCCCACGCAGCCCCCTGCCTGTCCC